TGTGTTTCTCCAGAGTGTCGGTAAAGAGAAGATGGGAACAGTGTGTTTCTCCGGAGTGTCGGTAAAGAGAAGATGGGAACAGTGTGTTTCTCCAGAGTGTCGGTAAAGAGAAGATGGGAACAGTGTGTTTCTCCGGAGTGTCGGTAAAGAGAAGATGGGAACAATGTGTTTCTCCAGAGTGTCGGTAAAGAGAAGAGGGGAACAGTGTGTTTCTCCGGAGTGTCGGTAAAGAGAAGATGGGAACAGTGTGTTTCTCCAGAGTGTCGGTAAAGTGAGTATGGGACAGTGTGTTTCTCCGGAGTGTCGGTAAAGAGAAGATGGGAACAGTGTGTTTCTCCAGAGTGTCGGTAAAGAGAAGATGGGAACAGTGTGTTTCTCCGGAGTGTCGGTAATCACCTACGGTGCTGCATGGTGTCATGACCCAGAGAACCGCAATCAAAATTTCCGTTTCTATGATAACCTTAAATCTCAGGATGCTGAGGAAAGTATTTGGATCCAAGAGAGAGGAAGAAACATAAGAGTCGAGAAGATTTCATAATGAGCTTCATGTCATATTCTTTAAAAAATATATAATTATGGTGATCATACGTAGGAGGATGAGATGAACTGGGTATGTAGCACATGTAGAAGGGATGACAATTACATACAGAAATTCAGTCGGAAAACTCAAAAGGAAAAGACCACTTGGAAGTCCTGAGAATAGGTTTGGAGGAAAATATTAAAGTGAATAAGAAAGGAAATATAAACACGCGAAATTGATTATTTAACTTAAAATTTTAAGCAGTGGTGGATTTTTGTGAACTTTTTTTAATTCGCTCAGTAGGGGTGGAGTCCAACTGGGTCCACTCGGCACGGCGGCCACTGATTGGCCTATTGTAGCCTGCCCCAGGTGATTATGATGATGGAGAATTTGGTGGAATGAAGATTGACAGGGGAGACCGAAGTACTCGGAGAAAACCCGCCCCAGCGCCACTTTGTACACTACAAATTCCACTTGACCAGACCCCGGGATCGAACCCTGACCTCCGCGGTTGGAAGCCAGCGACTATCCGCTTGAGCTATGGCGCAGCCTTTTCTTGTGAACTTGTTAATGTGCCTTCAGACTGCATAAATGGCGACAGTTAGCTCCTGAAAAAGGGCTCTGCTCCATGGAGTTCGTCGTTACGTACTTACTGAAGCAGGTACTGGTGATACTGAATGCACTCCTTTATATATGTTGACACCTGAATTTCATCGTCCCTAGTGAAGCAGATTGCCTCGTCTATGGTGCCGCGCTCTAGAAGCGTATGTTTTGTGTTAGTCTCATGCGTAGCCTTCGCAACCACAGCTCCTGGGCTGGCTTTATTAATGACTGAATTCTCTTCAGTTTGGTGTCCTATATTCCGTGTGGCATTTCTCAGAGACGAGCTCAAGAGTTCGAACTGAGAAGTTGTATAGATGATAAGAACAAGATAGAACGCATTCAAACCACCAATAATGAAGCAGCCTTCTTGAAAAGTCAATGCTACCTGACTGAAATAGGCTAATATGTTGTACGGATATATCGTTGGGTCTATAGGCAACCATGCCTTCCAAATGAGGAGGTTATATCCATGCTGAGTGGTCGAGTTTACTTGTCCTGACGTTAATGCTAAGGTCGGTGGTGTGAGAATCATGACACAGGTGGCCGTGCATAAACTACCGAAGTACAGCCAAGTGATTGTGTTCGCCAGATGCATTGCCTTCTTAATAATGTATTTCTCTTCGTTGTTTAAATTCTTTCCGTGGATGTAGAAGTTGTTTTCCAAATCCACTGTAAGACTTGTCATTTTTTTCCTGCGTAACACGACAGGAATTACCTTGGTACCGTGAAGAACCTGGCAGACACATACGAGCAGACTCTCACTAAATTCTGCAACGTTCTCTTCGGCAAGTATTGCATGCAGATATACTGTAATGTTGAAACTCAAGTGAAGTAAGATGACATACATCTCATAACAACGATAAAAGAAAAGTTTCAAAGGGGTTCCCCTTATATCTCGCCACCAGACCCCTCCAATTTTCAATATCCCGAGGTTTAATGATAAAATTTTGCTTGGATCCACTTCGTCCAATGTCATTTTCTCCTCCTTGGAGTCCATTTCCTGCTGTTGAGCTCTGAACTGCATGTACGTAATAGAATGTGACGCCCAGAAGCGAGTGTGTCTATGTATCGTAGGTTTAAGGCCTTGAATAATTTAAATAAACCGTTATTGGAATACCAACTGCCTACCTTGTTACTTCGTTCGTATTTTCTCCTCAAAATTTAAACGTGCACCAAAGAAATCATTACTAGGCGATCTTTTCTTGCTGGAAATTTTCAATAGTCTTCGTTAGGCGCGTGAATGTTGTCACTGCTTCTGAAAGATTTATCACCATCATGTCCCTGCATTATTCATTTAATTTCATGTCACGTTGTTGCTGAGCTACTCTGAGGTAGGCTGCTTTATGTTTCGAATGTAGCATACTGCTGTCCTAAACGTATGTACCTTACTGTAAGTGGATAATTATCCTGTAAAATTTGTCCACGTGCACTACGCCATGAAGGCTTATGGGGAATGGAGGTATAGATCCACATTTTCTTGACCTCGACAGTAGCTGAAGGTGAGTGGTCAGCTTCACGCCCAGGCCGCTTTACCCCTGGAGGAAGAACACCCGGTACCCATTGGATATGATATTGTGTGGACCACAGAGCCGGTCTGGACGATGTGGAAAGGATAAAATTCTTGATCCTACCGGGACTAGAACTCCGACCCCTCCGTCGTCCAGCCCGTAGCTAGTCGCTATACCGACTGCGCTATCCCGGCTCGTGAAATAAAGTATCTAACAGTGAAATATGGTCGTAAAAGTACCCTTAGCTGATTTTATAGTCGCATTGATTCAGATTTTAAGAGATCTCATCAAATGTAGGGGCTCTGCAAACTGAATGAGTTGTGATGTTGCTAGCAGTGAGGCAGTTGACTTGGAAGTTTGCAGATTTGGTGGTATCACTGCGTTCTTATGCTGGAGTCGAGGAAGGTCATTGACGCTCTCAGTCATGGTACGAGATTTCATTCCGAAATATAAACTTGATGCCTCACGGAGAATTTTAGAAATTGGGTTGTGAATAATACAATTTCGTTGAAAATGTAGCATACAAATGAAAATGAGAATTTCACACAGGATTTTAGACAGAATACTTGATGGGAAGAGACCATATTGGATATTTAGATAAAGAACAGAGTTTAAATTTTATTAATATATATTTCAGGACTGATATTTATTATTACTTACAAAGTATTTTGTTGAGAAGAAAGTAGCTGACATTAAACACAATTTTACAAGACTCGTTGCACGACGAAACACACTCATTTCTTTCTCGTTTGTACAAAATCATTCTTTAAGCAGTCAAGGATAGGGAATTATATTTTACTCGAGGGCACCAGATGGGGCCACTTCAAAGTTATCGAGGGAACAAAGACCTCGAGAAAAAAAAATTGTACTTCAGTAATTATTAAATAGCTGCCAATAATCCGTGCTGACTGAATATTCTTCATATATCGCGGTATCTTTAACTCTTATATGTAAATATTGAACATTTAGCAGGTTCTTCTCGATTTTCTCATAGAGTAAATTCAGTTGGTAGATACGTGCTGACCTGCCAGTGACCCTAACTGCGTTTGCTTAAAGATCTCAATCAAATTTCTGTTATTACAATAATTTCTCTCTATTATGTAAATGTGGGTTATAAAAATAGGTAAAAAGACTATTGTTACTAACGTCGGAACACGAGCCCCGTGACTTGGACTGAATTTTCTTGTGGACAAAAGCTTTGCCACCCCTACTCTAAGCTGCGTGCGTTGTTGCAATTATTTATCAGATACTTACAGAATATCAGTTTATTTTTTATAGGATCCGCATACAAAGTAAAGTTTACTTGTAATGACAAGCAAAAACTATGACACAATATAGGTAAATCTGTCAGTAATAGGAAACCATCCTATATTAATGGCATTCAGATCATAAGAACTTTACCTACTTAGTAAACTTTCAGTGCCGGTTCCCAAATGAAGGACTTTTACATAATTCAAGATTGGATTCATTCAGCTGTAGTATTATCGAATAATGAGGTAGAAGTAAAGTAAAAGTAAAGCTATCCCTGTAAGAGGCCGTGAAGGCCCATAGGGTTGTGAGACGTTGAGGGTCCCACATTATCTAGATAATTGGCTCAAAGATGGCGGTAAGATTGTGAGCCTTACGCGCCGGCCGCGCTTTACTTCCCAGGAAAATTATTAATTAATTCCTGGTACTCATTTCTGTTAGAGGCTGAGTCGACCCGAGGGCCATAGTGCGGCTGGAAGGATTAGGTTAAATAAAAAAATCCAATTACCTCATCGGGACTTGAACCCGCGACCTTCCGGCTTGTAGCATAGCCCCTCAACGAACTACGCTACCGCGTGCCCGCTATCGAATAATGAGGTGAGAGTATAAATTTTAAAACTAAAGGTAAAACTATCCCTGTAACAGGCCGTGAAGGCTCATAGGGTTGTGAGACGTCGAGGCTCCCACATTTTCTCTAGACAGTCGACTCACAGATGGCGATAAGGTTGTCAGCCTTACGAGTCGTCCGCCCTTTACCCCCAGGAAGATTCCTGGTACTCATTTCTATTAGAGGTTGAGTCGACCCCGGGGCCATAGTGTGGTTGGAAGGATTAGGTCAATTGAAAAAAATCCACCTCATCGGGACTCGAACCAGCGGCCTTCCGGCTTGTAGCATAGTGCCTCAACCAACTACGCTACCGCGTGCCCGATTATAAATTATATGTTATTATAAATGAACGAGTGATAGAATTACAAAACACGGCACAACAAGTTGACGCAGCAGTTGTAACGCATCTTACTTGTATTCTCAATTTCCGGCCATATGACGTGGGTGTTTTCGTGTTTTTCGACGTCGCAGACAAATGCTAGGATAGTACTTCTAACACAGGACCCAATATCTCTATCACACCTCCGTTCGGCTTCATCAATCACAGTGTCACGCTGTTCTGTCTTACCCGCTTATACATGACCACATTTTCCCAAAATAATCATGTATGCTAATACTTAGGTCGTGACGTATTGATATAGTCTTTCAGCCCATTAATATATACAGAGTTTCAATCTATGTTTTACTAAAGTGGGAGGTATACCTTCTGGGATATATAACTGCGTGTAGTCCAGTGAAGGTCAACAGACGTCACGGAGGAATATGCGGCCTCCATCTTCAGGGTTGAAGTGTGAGCCGACAAAGAAATCAGCATGAAGCATGCAGCATTAAAGGCTCGGCTTCTCAAGTTCTGTTATTCCTTGGTTTATTCTTCAACCTGAAATTTGAAACCACATGTCCTCCGAAACGTCAGTCGAATTTCACCGGACTACACAGAGATGGAAGTCTTCATAACCGACACTGTGAGAACCTCAGATGTTTCATCTCAGCGATGTCAAACTGTAACGATTATGATAAATGCTTGTGTTGTTCGGTTTCTTTCCCTGTTTACAATTTTACAACCTTCAGTGTGGTTGTCATCTCTCAGTCAAGAATCAACTCAGAAAATAGGCCGCAACAGAATTTAAATTACTCGTGGGGGCCTGTACATTATTATCGTCCATAGAATTAAATCTGGCGCAATCCTGTTTTCTAAATATCTGTCAATATAAAAAAATCACAATAGGCATAACACCATTTCTCATGTTTCTTCTATCTTCGAAATTTCAGGTTGATTGACTTGTTTATCTAATGGCTCTTTTTCAACAGCTTACATATTGTAGCATCGAATAACTTGATGATCTTTGAATGTTTAGCTGGATATGACGTGGAAGTACAAGGTGGTGGAATAATTTAAGCTACTATCCCCGAATTCCTTGATGGGATGGAAGAAAATCGCGAAAAATACTCAACCAGGCTGTTCATTCCGAGATTTGACCATGGACTGTCCTGATAACCACAGAACCTTGTCTTTCCGTCTGTTGCAATTTTTGGACCGTTAAATATAATGAAGATAAATACAAAAATGTTTGCTCTTAATTGAATTGCCTTCAGACCGCCTCTGTGGTCTAGTGATCAGAGTTCCTGGTTATAGATCAAGAGGTCCCGGGTACGATTCCTGGCTGAAAAGTAGTGGGTGTTGAACGGGGTACACTCAGCCTCGTGAGAATACTTGAGTAGCTATGTCAAGGAAATAGCGACTCCGGTCTAGAAAACCGAGATTAATGGCCGTGGGGATCCGTTGCGCTGACCACGCGACACCCTCTATCCGCTAAAGTTGACACTAACTTCGCCGACAAGCGGCGATCGCTCTGTCGGTATAGTTCGCTTGCGGACTGAGACCAAGTTTTATTGAAGTGCCTTCACAATAACTTCAAGAAACATGACCAAATCCAGAAAACATAGTTTAAATCTTTATTAAAGAAAAGGGACTAGAAACTTGTATTTATGAGATTGTTAAGACGTTCTGGATACGTTCTTGTAGCACGTGGAACTCTGTGTGACGTAACGAAAGTAACTGCAAACGACAAGAACGAGCAAACTCAATTTGACATAAATAATTTAAAATGTGAATCAGACGCACCTGTACCAAGCATTTCGGTGCCCATTGCGATAAAGAGGATGTATACATATGTACATAAACTAGATATAAGAAAACGGCACGAAAGTTTTTCCTTTTCTTCTTCTTCTTCTTCTTTATTTTCACTATGCTCGGTGCTGACATGACAGTTGCTCTGATATAACTACTTAAGGCTTGTTACGTAATACAAAACCAAATACACTGCAGTAAAAAACATTGTACTTTTGCATGTAGCCTGACAATAACAAAAATGTTAAAGCAAATGTAGGCACTAGTCTGTTAACTCGTGCTATTCAGAGAGTGTCGGTAATGTAATAACCAAGAATGAATTAAAATAAGATCCGTATCGCCTGATATTCACAGGGATCCCTCTCAATGTTCCAGAGAAATTCGGAAGATTCAGACACAGTGCTCAAGCATAATGTTCTGTTATTCTTTATATTCACAAAACAGGGAAATATTACTCTTCAGTAGTAAGGAACTTAGATTCAGACACAGTGCTCAAGCATAATGTTCTGTTATTCTTTATATTCACAAAACAGGGAAATATTACTCTTCAGTAGTAAGGAACTTAGATTCAGACACAGTGCTCAAGCATAATGTTCTGTTATTCTTTATATTCACAAAACAGGGAAATATTACTCTTCAGTAGTAAGGAACTTAGATTCAGACACAGTGCTCAAGCATAATNGGACAACACCAGAGTTTAAAACCATCACGGTGTTTGTGATTTTTTACATGTAAAAAGACAGTTACCCACAATTTGAAAAGTTTTTGTGGTTTGTTTATATACATTTTATTTACCTAGATCCGTTGTTCTTTGTCTATCACGATCAAACTGAAAGCTATATATAGATTCGTAGGTAAACAGAAAAAGGCCGTGAAGGCCCATAGGGTTGTGAGACGTTAAGG